TTTCCCCCTTTTCCTCCCTTTTGGTTTGTTCGGGTATGCTGAGACCATGGGGTAGACATCCCCACTTGGTTCGCCCACGTCGAAGCAACACGCCACCGAGGGCGTCAACAAGATTCTGATGGGCAACAAGTGCGACTGGGAAGAGAAGCGGGTGGTGTCGACTGAACGGGGCCAGGGCGCTCGCGGACGAGCTGGGGATCCCGTTTTTGGAGGTGTCGGCCAAGACGAATGAGAATATCGAAAAGGCCTTTTACAGCCTGGCGGCGGATATCAAGAAGAGGATTATCGATACGAGCAAGACGGAGCAAGGGGGTGCAGGGGCGTCGACGGGGGTTAATGTTGGGGGCCAGACTTCCGGTGATAAGGGGGGTGGTTGCTGCTAATGGAGGGGAGGGGTGGGGAATGAGAGACCATAAACGCCGTTGCAAAAGAGAAGGGAGTGGTTGATACAGGGCTGTATTGGTTTTATTTTTGCTGGGGGACCTTTTTTTATTTATTTTTCATCGGGATGCTTGCTCCTGGCGATTATGATTGGGGGCATGAAGGGGGGGTATGGAGGGGGCGGAGGAAGGTAAAGCATACGCGATGGGTTGATAACAATGGGTAGGGCAAATGCAAATATTTGGGGTGTTTCTATTTTTATTTTTATTTTTGAGAGAGAGAGACAGTTTTTATTTTATTTTTTCCAATGAAAGGCAAGAGATGATAAGATGATGAGGATGATGTGAGAGTGAGATGTTGTGTGTGTGAATCTTGTGAGAGAAATTGAGTGTTGAAGAAGTGAGTGGGTAGGTAAGGGGGAGAAGGGGGAGCAAGAGATGGGGATGAAAGACTGGGAAGGTCAGAAGTAGGAGGACAGAGTATGTACAACATGAATGTTGTGTGTTCGTTTCGTGCAAAATGCCAAGTGACTCCTTTTACCTACGGAGCGGGAAGAAAAGTCGTGGTTGGGGGTGGTTAACGGGATAGCTATTGAAAATGAGCTGTTGAAAATGAGCTGATGAAAGAGACGACAACATTTTTCAGCAGTGTGATCAGGTAGGTGTGTGCTTGTTAAGTATGGGAGAGGAATTTTGTGGTTCGGCTTTGTTGACGAGAGTTTGCTTCGCCGGGGTAAGAATAGGCAAAAGGGGGAAGAGACTGGGCGGTGTTATGGTTTTGTTGCGGTCAAAAAGGGGGTGGCCGTTCACCGAGTTCACAGACAAAATAGTCTTCAGATAATTCAAAAAGATCACAGCTGCAGCATCAAGGGAAACATCAAGAACAAGGAAACCCATTCAAAAAGTGGAGGGACAGGAGCGTAGATGTCACCCTGCTAGTAGCCATCTGAGTTCGAACCCTGCTCAAGTCAACAACAACAACAACAACAACAACAACAACAACAACAGCAGCAGCAGCAGCAGCAACATCACCAACCAACCAAACAACAAACAAACAAGACATCCATGTCAGTAAACAAAAATAGACTTGGAGAAGAACAGCTAGGGCAAAAATTGGACGCACCGGGGTTCGAACCCGGGACCCTTCACATGGAAGCAGTGGTTGTAATGATAGTCACCACCTTTTGACCGCTTCGGGAGCAATGTAGAGACAAGCAACAGGCACTTAATTTAATGCAAATGAGACGTCGTAACCACTTGACCATACGCCCTGTCTTTGTGGTTTATGTGGTCCCGGCGACGTCGCTATAGCAGGGGGGGGGGGGGGGGGAGAACTTTGGAGGGAAGGACCAAACTTGGTGAGCTGGGAAGGGGAGGGTGCGGGTATCTGCGGTTGTCTGTGGGTTTGGGATGGGGCTGTTTTTGGATTGTGGTGAGGGATATGGGGTGGTTTTGGTTGGGTGGTGTTGTTGGTGTTTGTGTTATTGTCTTCGACCAGGATGCTCAACAACTTATTCGCTAACCAAGAAGGTCTATTTATGTCTATCCCTCTCCCTTCACACATCCCTTACCCGGAATTATCATCATTTTAGGGCAAAAAAAACAAGACAAGACAAAACGAAAGGGCGCATTGGGGTTCGAACCTAGGTCACTTTTGCTGAACAAACCCCCTCCCCATAATCCGATGGCCCAATTCTTGTAGGGCGATCAAAGAGGTAGACCAGTGTCTGCATAGAGATCTTGCCTGCTAGACCATAAGCCACTTGTTTTTTGTTAGGGATACGATATCGTTGGGCGTGCTTGGCAGGTAGGCAGATACCCGTGGCAGGTTGCTTGTCTAGAGGGGCAAAGGGGAGAGCCAATGGTTGTGTCTTTGGCAAGGATCACAATGGCCAGAGAGATGATGATGGTATGTCGAGTTCAGGTTGCAAGGCCTTCTGTCTTTTCTGGAGAGCCTTCACGGACACGAGCATGAGTGTCGACTGTCACGTCTCCTTAGCCTATGGCAGCCAAACTAACCTAGGTAAGGAGGTGTTCAGAGTAACAAGTGGGCAAACAGGAAGCAGCAGGAGGTTTGGTCAAGATATTGTTCAGTGACGCTTTTGGACGATACAATGATAGCATTCCATCTGGAGGGACCAGCGACTACAGAAAAGTTGGGAAGCAAAAAAGAGATTGAAGAGAAGAGGAAACCCGAGATGACTTCAAAAATGGACGTACCGGGGTTTGAACCCGGGACCCTCTCATGCCAAGATCCCGCCGCCCAAATCCTGCGTGCATTCCGTCCTGTCTAGGGGTGGGGATTTATTAGGCCAGCAGGGATGGCAGCAAGTGCGAATGAGAAGTCCTACCACTAGACTATACGCCCTTTGAAGTTGCTGGAAGTAGGAGGGATGGAGGATGTATATAAAGCCTAATGGTCTGCGTTTGCACATGACGTGGAAAATCTCAGTGTACAGACAGCAGTATGTATTTGCCAGTTGGACCTGGGCAGGATGTGATCATATGGTTTGAACCGCTCTATCACACGGGCGATGATAAGAATGAGGTGCCTTGACACAGCTCAATATCATTCCAATGCTCGTCTTCATCGATCCTTCAAGAATCAGGCAGCCTCAAAAATTCTCATTCCGTCTCTTGGTCTTTACCAGCCGCGCCCTCAAGTCTCATCCTCAGGATCTACCGTGCATGACATGCACACTCACACCCAAAGCCTTGATATGTGTGCTGTACTTGTGATGTCCTCGGCTTATATCCACCCCCCGTTTCATCGACCGTGTGAAAGACGACGGGATGTTAGCTGTGCAAGTTTTATGGTTAATGGGTGGGTTTGTTTCCTCATCCCATCTCCATCACCAAGATTCCCAAACACTCCCATCCGGCAGCCGGTAACGGTACCAGCCGTGAGATATGCCTTAATTTGAGGTGACAAGGTGACAGCCGAGTGTATATCATCTCGGCTGGCCCTCAATGTTTGGTGTTTGAGGGCCTCTTTCATTCTGTGCTGCTCGATTCTTTTTCACTTACGCTGCACTTACGCTCTTTTCTAACTTTTCGACATCAGAGGTATGTTGATCTCCCTTTGGCTTGGAGATATGTGCTGATTGAGACCTTCTAGCTGTGCTCCTTCCATTCTTTGACATTCTTTACACACCATTGTTTGCAGGCAGACTTTCAAAGAAACCACCCACCATGAAGACCGCAGTTTTATTTCTATCCGTCGGCCTGGCGTCAGCCCAGGTTTTGAATAACTCCACTGGTGTTTTCAGTAATTCCACCAGCAGCTTTGCCTCGCCCAATGTGGATATCAACAACCTCAACCTCGGTGGACAGGTGGACCTCAACAGCTTGGACGTCAACGGCCTAAACCTAGGCAATATCGATCTCGGTAACCAAGATGAGATCGTTGATGCTATCCTGGCTATGCTTAGCGGATTCTGTTTGGGTGGGCAGTTCAACCGCAATAATATCCTGGGGTTTGGCTTCAACAATGATGTCGATCTATTCTTCCAGCTTGCTCAGCTGCAACAATTCCAGCAGCTTGGCTTCCTCAATCTGGGAGGTGTGCAAAATCTGTTCAGCAAGGGGAAGGTACTTGGGGGGTTCAACCTAGGTCCGCATACTTTTTTCCCCCAAAACCAGGTGAAGCTTTTGCTGACTATGTCGTCAGGCCTCTTCAAACGAGAAATTGCTGATGCCAGGAAGACCATGAAGCGAACCGTACTTCGCCGTGGACGGTATGCCAAACGTCAGTCGTGTGCTCAAGGGGCTGGATCAGGCGCCATCGGTTCGGGCGTTGGTGGTCAGGAAGAAGCTGCTGTCACAATTGCGACAGCTGAGAACCCGCCATTGGAGACAGCTACCGCGACGGCGGCGGCAGACTTCACGATCGCCACCGCTGATCCTGGAGTTGATGATCTTGTTGAGTCCGTTGCCTCGGCCGATTTTGAGGCAGTTTTCAGCATCGCCACAGCAAACCCAGATGTTGTCGTTGGTGCCGCCAATGATATCTATGCGTCATCCGCCGGTGTTGCTACTGCCACTCCTGCTGTTGATTCAGCTTCAGCAGTTGTTCAAGCCTTTGCCACCATCACCGCTGAGGCAGTAGCAGCTCCTGCTTCCGTTGCTGTTCCAGCCGCAGCTGAGACCGCTATTCCGGCTGTTGCTGTTGAGGAAGTTGAGGAGGCTGGGGAGGTCGATGTGGAGGACGCTGTCGATAACCTGTCAGACCTCACCCGTTAAGTGATGAACGGCACGGGAACAGCTCAGGGGTTTCTGAAAGGAGGAGCTCAACCCTGTTGTGGGAGCTGTCCCTGTTCGGGTCGTCCCAACAACTTAGTGACGGTAAGCCAATTGGGTCAAGAACAGGAGTCTGCTCTAAACATCCGATGAGCTTCCGGATGAAAGGCCGGGGTTGCAAACATATGAGTGACTGGGGCCTGGGAAGGAGCAAAGTCCGGTCCTTGGCTGTCAGGAATGGCTGGGGGTGCGGCAGATGCCGGGGTCGACCCCAAGATACTTTTTCTTTTGTTAGGGTTTCTTCAGACCGATCGTGATAATGTAATTAGATCGGGCTATCTATATGATGAGTATGAACTTGAGATGAATCTGTTACTGGTGCTGGAGGAGGCTGGAGTTGCTGGAACATACCTGATGATTGATGATCTCGTGGTTCTAATTTGGGAGGTCACACTGCTTCGCCATCTTCAGATGGTGTATCTGCATTGCTCCGCATGCTGTGCCTGTTCGTAGCTGTCATCGCAAGACGTCGTGCAATCCTGTGATAGCGTGCTGTCTGTCAGGAGCACACTTCTTCAGCCGGAACCCGCACAGATCCGGTGGCCAAGGCATCCAAGTCAGGTGAAGAAATTCAAGCGAGGCCATTCCCATGTTGGAAAAGAGCAATGCCATGGATTTGGCTGCTTCAAAGTGTGCCATCTGCGACATCTATTGTGTGTCTCCGCATGAGCGCTCGGTCCCGTCGTTGCAAGTGCACGGCTTCAAGATGGGATCCAACCAATCAGCAGCCCCAATCACCCCCCCTGGACGCCTGGGCGGGGGTCTTGGAATCGGTGGGTGCCACCCCCAGGCACCCCCAAGGCACCCGGCTGTAACGTTGACAGGGGCTTCCCGCTAATCGGCTTCAGACCTTTCAGCCTCTCCCGCCCCAGAAGACCCGCTATTTAGCCACTTCTCGCCAAACAAGTGCCGGAATTGGGGGGGCAATTGAGGCTTGCCAGGCTTGAAACACCGCAACAGCTCTCGGCATCGGATGGGTTCAACTAAGGCAAGCTTAATCGCTTGATCGCTTAATCACCGACTGTTACCTTTCCCTTCGGCTGAACACCAATGTACTCCTTGTCAGTGTGATGGACTGAGAGAGAACCTCGACGGCCAGCTTGGCTATCCCTTCGTTGCGGGCGGCCGTGAAGGGGTCAAGGCCCAGGCCCTCAATCTATTCGGTCGAGAAGGTCTGGTCTAGTATAGGCTGCTCATGTTTTTATCTGTTTTGTAAAATCCCCGAGCCCTGCTAACGGCATAGAGGAGGAGCACTGTCATGTTGGAACACCCAGTTCCCGAATTTGGCTCTATTCTTTTCCCAGGAGCACATGGCTCCTCGAAACACTCGAAACGAGCAGCTCATCCTCGGCGGTGATCAGGAATGGCCACCGAGCGTCTTCCCGCGACCTCCTGGACATCAGATGGTACCTGTGCTTCCCCGACAAAATGGCCTCGACCTGGGGGTATCCCGTCATTGGGCGCCCTCCCACCCCCACTCAGGAGCTAGTGTAGAGGGCACCTAGTCCCTTGATATCCGAATGCCACCAACCAGTCTTTGGTGTTTCTCTTGGCAGCAAAACAGTCCCAGATGGCCTCGGCCACAGAGCTTTCCGTACCATGACGTTGCTGCAGGTGCCGAGTGTTCTCGACTACCCTCCCTCCTGTGCAGGGCACATCTCCGTCTCGGCGAATTTGTTGCTGCTGTGCCTGGGTTGCCTTGACTTTCTCGGTTCTTTGGTTCCGCCTCAACATCGTCAACACATCCCGGCACATCCTGGCCTGCCTTGTCTGTGGTGTTTTATCCATCCGCCTCTGTCCAGTGACACCTGACGCCTGATACGCTTCGGATGAGTGCGTGCTCTCATCCCGAACATCACGGCGTCTCCCTGAAATCCTTGGCAAGCAACTCCTGCTCCCATCTTTGCCATCATCGTTGCCTCTGGTCCTTGGCACGTTCGAGCCACCATATAAGGTGACCTGATCACCCGTCCTGTCCTGACTTTTGTTTCTTCATCCCATTCACAACTCCAGCTTTCCAAGGCCCGTTCGCCATCTTCTTTCTGTCATTCATTCTTCAGAGGTATGTCGGCCAAACAATCATCCAAACGAAACACTTGGTGTCGAGGCTAACCTGGTCAACAATAGCTGTGCTCGCTGTTCGCTTCATTCCTTCAATCTTTGAACATTTTTGAGCTGTGCTCTTAAACTTTATAATCCTTTAATCTCTTTGTTCGCAAGTCGTTCTCTCAACAACAAAAACATCAGTCAAAATGAAGTTCTTCACCGTCATCGTCTCTACCCTCGCCGCCATGGTTGCCGCTGCTCCTGCCGCTGCTCCCGCCAGCACTGAGGTTGACAAGCGTGCCTTCGCTTTCGATATCAATGCCTTCAACGGCCTCAAGGGCTTCAACCAGGTCAACCTCAACTACCTCCTCAACATCAACTCTCTGCAGATTGGTCTCCTCGGCAACCTCGCCAACGTCAACAACTTCAACATCTTGCAATTCCAGGGTCTCTTTGCTCAGCAGAAGTTTGATCTTCAGGCTCTCCTTCAGCTCCAGCAGCTCCACACCTTCCTCCAGATCCACCAGCTCGGTGTTCTCAACGGCTTTGATCTCAAGGGCCTCCAGCTCCAGCAGCTCCAGCTCGGTCTCCTCAACAACGTTGGCCTGCTCGATCTCCAGCAGTTCATCTCCCCCAACGTCATTGGCCAGGTCACCACTATTGGCAACTCAGGTCAGTAACTTTTTTTTGATCACATGCACAGACCTCGGCCCAATACATCGTCTTGTTTTGTCGGCAAACGTGTGTGTTCACACGATACCCCAAGCCCCGGTTGCCTTCACCCCCAACCTGCCAGTGTCTGGTTCGTCTCCCGGTGTTGCCGCTCCGAGCCCCAGCGTTGCCCCTTCCGGTGGCGAGGGCTCGAATGTGGTCACTGCGGAAGAGCAAGATGCTCAGGAGGGCCGGAGCAACCTCGACTAGAGGGCTACTTAGGTGCCAAACGACGCCGACACACGCATCGCATCCGCCTCAGCAAATGCCCCCCTTTTTCGGACCCATTGGCTAATTCTGGATTTTTCTTGCACAAAAAGTCCGCATCCCTGTCAAGGAGTAAACGGCGACCATGATGAAAAAGTAATGCAACACCATCCACCATCCACCTCCACCACCCCCATCAAAAACATGACGAGAAACACCACTACAACCCATGAATCGATTTCCTCCTCTCGCCCACCGGGGGGGAGGGGGGGAAACGACAGCTTTACGACCCAACGATAATGACGACAAAAACGTGGGAATGGAGATAGGCAAATCAGCAGCAGTGTGATGTCAGCGGAATTTCCTCTTTTTTCCTCTTTTTTCCCTACATGGAAAGTTGAGGGGGATTTTCCAACGACGAGAAACTAGTTGATAGAATCAATCTCTATTTCTACACACTTTGTTTTTGTTTTTTGCCTATCTCCTGGTGAATTTCTTTTCTCGTCAGCTTAATACTTTTTCTCTCCTCTGTTTCTGCAGTGTTTGCGGTAGATTTAGCTTTTCTTTTTTCTTCTTTTTTTTTCTTGGATTCATGACACAGTACGATGATCGTATTTTATTTCTTTTGTATGACAGACGACGAAAAGAGAGGGGAAGAGGGAGAGGGAGAGGTATATATGGGACAAACAGGGGTAGAATGTGATGAATGTAAATGCAATGGGGGAAGGAAGATTGGGGAAAGCTGGGATGGATACATAGTTGTTGAGTTGTGGGGGGAATATCAACCGGATTGGTTTTTCCTGGACGTGATGACTGATTCGTTTTGATTGTGATTGTGGTTGTTGGTTTTGATCATGTTCTTTTGGGCAGGTATTTTGAGAGTAGTGATGGATTTGACTTTCTTTTTTCTTTGGATGATAAAACGTGAACTGAAAGAGGGGGAACCGCATGATGAATGAACGGGACGTTGTGGAGCCGAATTTGAGCTGCTGTTTCTTGGGAAGGGGTGGTGAGGTTGTGACGGTTGGTGTTGGATCGACGGGTGGGGGGAAGGGGGTGATGAGAACGGGAATGGATGCCAAGAAGATGGAATGAACAAGTTTGTTGCTACCTTTCTGGGCTGTCACCTGAGGATGGGATGGTGGGTTAGGTATGATTAGGAATGAATCGAGCTTGGTAAACGGATTGGTCGTTTTTGAGAGGATGATAGGTGAGGCATGTGGTGGGTAGGGGTGATAGGTCTACCTAGGCAAGTAGGTACGTAACGATCATAACACAGATGTAGGGTTTTTTTATGGAAAAAAAATGAAAAGAAAAATAAAGAAAATTGGTATGGGGTTTGTTTAGCAAATACTTGGAAATAACGGGACTGAGAGTAGGTACTTCGACTTGAGGTTATATTGTGATGATTACTTGTTGCTTTCTGTGTGAGGCTCTTGTGATAGAGGGGTACAGTTGATGGGGATATTTTACCAGGAATAAGAATCAGGTAAAGAAGGGACCAAAACTTGGGAACCAAATACAGTTTGGATGGGGAAAGTGCGAGGGGCGCGCCGGGGGGGTTCGGACTATATGGCAGGTTGATGCCATGAAACTTGTGGTTGGATCAGGTAACGTACCTTGTGCAGTATATGCAGCGCACGTGTGTGTGTGTGTCGTTTGGTGTTGGAGGAAGGAATATCATACCTGCGGGTGAGTTGGGTGTTCACCGCCCATTGATCTTTTGGATCTCCATAGGTAGGAATCCGAGGGGGGTTGGACAAGGACAGTCCTTCGAGGTGTGGGTGAGTTTGGAGTCCAGGAGGCTACACTTTTTCAAACTTTTCTTTCATTTGATTATGGCCATGGAAAATGATGATGTCAGTAATTTGGACTGTTTTAGAAAGCCTTCACTATAATACTGTAGAGAGAATTAGGACGGCTATGCCCCGGGAAAGTGTCTCATGGGCCTGCATTGCGGTTTTCTGATTGGAGTTGAAGATGTTCTGTGGGAGATTGTGGTCGGGCTGACTTCAACGGACGTTGATATATTTACAGTACGAGATATCTTCATTTTTCCGGACAAACCACATCGACATTACCGCCCGTAAGCGGTTTATCTCGGAGTCTGGTTTGTGTAGTTCCTTTTTTTCGTTTGGGGGTGCTTTCGTGTGTGAGTCAAGAAGAGATTAGAGCATCGTGAGAAGTTGAGTCTCGGATTTGTCAAAAGTCTCGGTGCTGAACTGCGCAGCTGGACTTGAGGTGGTTGGGTTGATGTCTGTGGTGACGATGGAGGAATGATTCAGGGGTAAAAAAAGGGGTAGTATGCTCTCGGGGGGGTTAGGGTTCTTTCTCTCTGCACAACTTTTGGACGTTCTTGTCTTTTGGACTTTGCCCTGCTAGTCTAACAGCAGATCTCATGGGCAAAGAAGGGTGTAAAAATAGAGCCTCAAATGTCGATTTTGTGATCTTCACTGCCGAGGAGGAATCCAGGAAAACCCTCCTTATTTCTTGTTCGTATCCTCACACACACAGCCTCGTCAGTGCCAAACTCCACACACAACCCTTCTGTGGATATTGTTTCTGAAACAAAACATTCGTAATCATTCGATCATCCAACTACTCCACGTATCCGTGCCTCGAGCACATTTTTTTCTCTTCTCTATCCCAACCTGATCCTCGGAAACACGGAGGAGGAACGTGGCCTGTTGGTGATGAACACAGTTCATCTCACATCAGAAAATGCGGCCGCTCTTGCATGAGCTGAGCAGAAGTTGGTCAAGGTTTCACTGTTCTAGTATTTTTCTCGCAAAAATAGCCAAACACTGCTTTCGGAGGGGTGCATACCAAGCTTTTGCCGAGACAGCATCGGATTGGGGACTGCTGCAGAGAAGAGAGTGGGAGTTGGTGGTGGGATGGATGGCTGAGCCAATACTTGCTCCAGTGGCGCGCTTCTGGCCGCGGGCGAAGCGGGGAGCGGAGCACGACTGCGGGAATATGTACATGGCGGCAACAATGGCAGTGGTGGTCACGGAAGGGGAGGCCGGCTTCGCGAATTTTTTTTTTTGTTTCTTTTGTTGCTTGTTCAGCCCTGCCGGGACATCACACCCACCCACACACCCACACACCCACATACCCAATGTATGCAGGAGACCAGGTCTAGGCATGCGGCAGTCGTCCCATGGTACCACCAGAGGTTGAGGCTTAATCAACGCAGCTGCAGCAGCAATGTCAAGCCGTGATTGCGATGTGCTGTCTCGCTATTGATTTCCTGGGGAAGGCAGCTCGCGTGTTCTGCAGGTGATTTTGCGAGCGAGGTCTGGATGTGAGTGCGAAGGTCTACTCTGCATGGAAGGCTGCCGAATTGCCGAGCAGCAGATATTCCCAAAGTGACAGTGAATCTGCAGCTTTCTTTTTAGCCAAGAGCACCCTGCTTGCTGCTGAAGATGAGCGTTCGTATTCAGGAACGGGATTCGCTTGGCTAAAGCTTGCGAGGGAAAGTCATGATGATGTGCCGAAGGGACTGACGTGAGGAATGTGGTCATGAAGAATGGTCAGGCCACGGCCATGAGGATCCGAGTCTGTAACACCCTGGGGTAGCCTTGACACACTGGGTTGGGCCCGAAGCCAGACAAAAAGTTGAGAAAGAAATACGATGAATGTTTGCATATGAATGTTTTCCGTGTAGGTACACCTGGATAGGACGTCCAATCTTGCAGCAGGTCGTTCCGTGTAGGTACATGTCACCAGGCGTGTGTAGTGGAAGGCATCCAATGGCATCATTGTGCTATCGGTATGCCAGCGCTAGGGAAGGGCTTGCAGGCATCCCCACCAAGTCTGCCCTAGCTGGACTTGGTGGCGCTGCGACCTAAGGCAGGCCAAACTCCGCAACTGTTTCCCCCTGAAGACATCCACTGACCGCCTGTTGACACGAGGGCTCGCAGAGGGCATCCTCGTAGCTGCGGTAGTTTGCGGTAGTGGCCGCAGTTGGCGTCAAGCAGAGGTTTTCGCTGTCATTTCCGGTGTTGCAGGTACGGGCTGCAGCATCAGAGCGCGAGCAGCCTAGACATTTCTGTTTCTGACGGATGTTTATGCAAGCACTGAAAAAAAGACCCGAATTCAGGCGGGCTCCCCACCTCCCCGTTGGTGGCCTCGACCCTGGATTCGCATCATGCCCCGCTATGGATCAGCACTCAGCGCTCAGCGCCTCTCGCCGGATCTTGTTCATCCAGATTGCAGATTGCGTCGTCGTCGTCAGCAAGGAATTTACCCTCCAAGAAGAGCCAGGGTTCCACATTCTCCAGGATTCTCCAGAGGAGAAAGCAGCATTGTATTCGAGCAGTTAAAGGGCTTTGTCAGGCCATCAGCCTTCCTTCTTTCCGACGCAGCTGCATATAAAGCGGAGCCATCGGACACATCGGCCCCAGCAATCGGTCGTGCAGCACTGCAGCAGGTCTTGCGCCCGCCGACTCGGCGCCAATCGACGGGTTCGACACCGCAAATCCATCTGATCAGGGCACCCCCCTTTTGGCGACCCCCGGTCCTGGCTCCAGCGACTTGGCACACATACAATATCACCCATAGCCTCCCCCCACCCTTTCTCTTCTCCAACATATATTCCCCCATCCTCTCGGCCTTGTCCGTCTGTCCGACCTCCCAGCTCGTTCGTCTTGCACCCAAACGACTTCCTCGCAGAAAAACAACCCTTGTGCTTGGTTCCGTTTCGCTTCGGCCCGGCCCCCTTACGTGCTACTCGAAACCTCGTGTTCACAGCCACCACACAACCAAGCATCACGACGTACATATCGCATATAGGTCTCGCTTCGATATTTTTTACGACGATCCTGTCCAGGGGAAGAAGAAAAACGATCAAGCCACTTCTGGTTCTGAGTTCAGATATGAGCAGCTTGCCAGCCTGCTCTACTAAGCTGTTGTTGTTGTTGTTGTTGTTGCCCGTAGGAAGCACTGGCAACCGACACGTTCGATTTCTGGGACCGTGAATCACGCTTCGCAAAACAACACCTCCAGAACCACCATAACTACCATACAATATCCAAAGCAATGGCTACCTACTCCCCCGAATACTCGGATGACGAGTACGATTTCGACGAGGAGTACTTTGCGCAAACCTACAAGCCGCTCTCCAACCTCCCGACCCCTCCACCCTCGTCACGCGACTCCTTGATCGCTCAGAGCCCGAGGTCTCTTTTTGAAGATGGAAGACTTGCTGATTCTGTTCTTTTCGGTATGTGGGCTTTCTCAGTGTTTGTTATTGTTTCGCAATTGGTTTCTAACGGCCCCGTTTCATAGGCCCCGCCGTCCACTTGGTAAACCTTGTGCCTCCAACGGCTTCTCTGGCTGTGCCGTCAGTCGCCCTTGTTCATGAGATTCTAGTCCGGGCTGATCTGCCAATGGACACCATCGGCCTCGCAGTTTGCATTTTGGATTCGCTCAGCTCCAAGTTTTCGCTCAATTGGAGGTTGCTCTGCCCGCTGGCACAGAGAGAGGCGCTCTCTGAGCTTCCCAAGCGGCACACACTCCCGGTCAGTCCGGTGGGGATGGCCCAGCTACACATCGACTGTGTTGGTCCCGAGATTATCGTTCTGACCGCATTGATCATTGCCGTCAAGTTTCTGGAGGATTGCCAGGAGCCCACACAATACTACGCATCAGCATGGGGGAAGAACCAGTGGACTTGCGACCAAATCAATGTCACCGAAAGGTGCATCATGGAAAGCCTGGGCTACCGGATTCTCCCCTTGTGGGACCCCGTGTTGATTGGGAGTGTGGTTAAAGACATGGAGCGTGCTGGAAGGCAGGCGCTCTACCCTCCACAACCCAGAAAAATCGACAAGCACCAGCGCTCCCAGAGCGAGGCCGTGACAGGCCTCGGTCTTCCCCTCACGCCGGCAGAAACGCCAGTGTTGGAGAACGGCCCCGCTGTTGTTTTCCCTTTGGTGGATGGAGGGAAAATGCACGTCACATTTGGCGGTGAAGGCGCGCCCGCACCAGACCTGCATCTGCCTCGAGGAAAGCGAAAGACATTCCCCACGAGCGGGTGAAGGGCTAGGGAAACTTGGCAATGATTCATTGGGTCACTTTTTTGTTTTTGGGAGGGGGTGCCAACACATTGGTTTTTCTGTCAAGCATAGCACAGCGGGTTTGGTTTAACACCTCCATTCAGCAACACATCCAACAGCTTTGGGAGAACGGGGGATATTAGACACAACAATGTGCCGGGGCACATCACATTTACCAACCAACTTTTACTGGCGCTTCGGATTACTCTTTTCGGCGTTTTTGATATTATATTTTTTATTGTCAAGCGGTTCGGGCGACGCAAAACTTCATTCTACGATACCACGACTGAACTGAAGAACTTTGTTTACGGGGGCGGGGGGTGTGGGGAGGGGGGGAAGAGGGCGTATCATCAATGACATTGGGGGGACTAAACAACTACATGTATCTGAACTTTTTGTAATGTTTTGAAAGGCTCACAAGCAAATACGGAGTGAGACAGGGACATGATGCAAGGAGAGAGGAGGAGGTGGAGGAGGAGGAGGAAATCAATGACAGGATGGCGTGCTTGGCGCAGTGGGTGAGGTGGTTTGAAGCGGGGTTACTTGGGGTTGTTTTCCTCAAAACAACACAGAACATAAACATTGGAATAATATTCATGAGAGGGTATTATTATTACACTATTGCCTATTACAATTTACGGAACCTGCTTTTCTTTTCTGTGTGCATCATCGGCCCGAACCAGCCATCTAACTATACAATCGATAATGTCCTTGTAAAGCTGGAAGCTGAACTCCATTCCAATGGGCATAAACTCCACAACAACAGGCCTTTCCCCAGCCCCCCTCCCCGGGATATTTGTTGGTGAGAAGGTTTGCAGAGTACACGCTTTTGACTTTATACCGTTACGTCAATCGCATGACAACCGCTCGCACGAATAATTTATTTTTCGCCTCGCTCAGGGCAAAACGCGCGCGCGGTTAGCAGGGGTTAGGCCTGGGGTGTGATCGACGGGGGATCAACAGGGGTGGGAACGGAAGCAGAGACGTGAGCCGAGACCTAGACCCTGGGGGACGTCATTGCTGATGCCAAAAAAATAAGAATAGATTTGATCTGCGTTGGGAAGCACGCGACAGTTGTGGGAGGGAATGCGAGTGCGTCATGGGGTGGAAGGGTTTTTGAACCTGATAATTCATGGTCGAGGGACGGGGCTGGGTTCGGAAAGGTTTAAAGGATGTTTTGAGGGTTTTGCGTGAAACCGAGGTTATCTGTGCAGATCTAACCACTGTCTCTTTGGGAGTTGAATATGACTTGGGTAGCAATGTTTCAGTTATCCAGACCATGAAGTGACCATTGAGAGGGAAAATTCGAGAAATGAAGGGCTCGGGATGAGGGAGATGATGAAGTTGCTTCTCGGCTACTGGTATATTTTTTTTTAAATACAATTGATGTGGCATAGAGACATGACAGCCCAATGGCTGAGACTATGTATTTCAAAACGAATATTAAACTGAATACTTACCCAGAACATTTCTGCGCTTGCTCCCCAGCTTAGCTGTGCCTAGCAATGTCTCAATTCTTCTCACTTGACAGTTATCTTTACAAGAGACTCAACACTTGAGAAGAATCTCCACTTCAAAAAAATCTCAAAAACCAGTAGTTTCAAAAAGTGGTAAACATAACATTAGGTACCAGCAATGTTTATTGTCTAATCGGAACGATGAGGGGGCAAGATAGGCAGTCAGTAGGCATTGCGCCCTTCACCACAGGGAGAGTACACATCTTGCCTTATCATCACATAAAGCGGCTCATAAAACGTATCATGCTGGACAAAACAACATCAATCAACCACCTCTCTCCAGCTAGTTGCAGAGTACCGTAGCTTAAAACACAAATTAATCCTCCCACACCTACCTAACCCAATCCAACCAATCAATCAACCTGCCAGATGGAATCCCCGTCTCAAACGGCCCCCCCATCTCCATTTCATACATCATACATCACACCTCCCCCCATGAGAAAGAAAACCTCAGATATTACATGCAAACAAAAACAAACGCCAACCCAATGCTGCCGAACCCCCCCCCCCATAAAGCCAAAAAAGCTCACACACAATGCTCGCAAAAGGAAACCACTCCCCGCCCGACCATCCTCCCAAACAGCAAATCTTCCTACCACCCAACCCTTTTCCCACAATTGGATATCACAACGACCCCGCCCCTCCGATCCCCTTCCCTACCCCCCTCCTCGCAAACCGCCCAAACCCACTCTCCGGACTCATCTTCCCCTGCAACTGCCCCCCATCATTATCATCATCATCATCCTCATACGTCTCATCATCTTCCACCTGTGGCGGTGGTGGCAGCCTCTTATCCCCCTCCCTCTGCTTCCCCTTATCACCAGGCATCTCATCCCCAATCCCCAACCCCGTCGCCGCAATCGCCGTAACCGCAGACCCAGACCCCGACTTGTTCGAAACCGGACTCCTCATCCAGCTCCCAGTCATCCCAGTGTTCTTCCGTATCTGTATCCTCCTCGCCTCCTCCACCCCCACAGTCTTACTCCGTCTCAATCCGAACCCCCCCCGTCCACCACCCATCATCATCCCCTCCCCCGCCCCCGGCGCAGAAGTCGACGACGGCTCCGACGACCCCGGCGGTCCCACCATCATCTTCAGCGGTTTCTTCTTCCTGAAATTAATCCCGGACCCTCCCACCCCTCCGTCGTCAGAGTTATGCGCCGTGTTAGGAACGGAATTCCTCAACAAGCTCATCTCCCGTACCACATCCCCTAGACTTTCTTCTAGGGTTTTCATTTTTGCTAGCATGAGCCTGCTCATTCGATTGTTATCCCCTTGAGCGCTCTTGGATAGCATCGCCGTCGCCATGGCCATTTGTGTCGCGAAACTAGAGGGCACGCCACTAAAGGTGCTCTCTTCGTCGTCTACTGTAACCGTGGCGTTGAGATCGGAGGAGCTCATCCGCCGGTGACGGTGGACATCTTGGGGATCTTGCTGGTGGTGGTGCTGTGTTGCTGGTCTTCGGGCAGGGATGTCAAGAGTCAGACCTGATCGGGTGGGAGCTGTTCGTGCCATGTCGCGGGGCGGGGCAATAGGGCGTGGCCGGGAGGAGGTCATGTAAAGAGAACGTCGAGGCGAGCGGTGGCCACCTCCTGAGATGGGTGTCATGATCGGGGTGTGTCGTCGGGATGGTAACTGCGGTGATCTGCCCATGGAAGCAGAGGAGGAACTATATGGCTGATGTTTCTCCTCTGGGACGTAGAGGATTGTGTTAGTTGACAGTGTCCGGGTGTGCAGAGCGTTACGCCTTGACTGGCCGATGCGAGGAGAGTCAGTTGACGGGAGCTCATCGTTGATGAAGCGGCTGGCAACAGGGGTTGTGAAATAATCTTCCTCCATTGCCTCGCGGTCGTGTCCATGACCGTCACCAATGGTGTTGGTCACATTATCCTCCTCTTCCTCATCATTCGTGACAAGCTCGTCGTCTCCATCCGCATCGGTGTTCTCCTTCATCTCATGAGCATAATCTCTCCGGTGGACGCCATCGTGGTAATACTCGGGTGCCATGGGGTACGGGGCGTCAGAAACGAAATCTGCTGGATCGCTGGCCGCAGAACGAAGATCGGAATACTGCCGTGGGAACCTGGATGGGCGTTCTCGATTCATACTCAGCCGTCGCCGCCAATCACCGGTCATCCTGCTGTCAATCGTCGAATAATTCTGCGGCGAGCGGAAGCCTCCGTCATTTTGGTCCATCCATGTGCGAATCGCATTCTGCGTCTTCCGTCGCTCATTCCTCCTTTGAGTCCTCAGCGTAGCTGTATCGGGAGCACGTCGAAATACTTCTTCCAATGCTCTGTCCTTCTGATAGCCGAGCACTGATTCCTCTCGTACTCGGACACTGGGGCTGAAGAATGCTGACCTGGTAGATGGATCGCCCAAAGAAAGCCCATGTGGGCGTCCACGACCGGGATTGTCGACGAGATCAGTAGCTTCGTAGATGTACGGCGCAAGGAAGTACTTCTCGTAGAAGAAAATGCAAAACAGCAGAGGGAAATGGGTGGCTTTGATCACGGCGCGGTTGAGCCACACGAACCGCTTGAGGGACATGAAATACCTGAGTGGCATCAACCCCCATGCAAAGATATTGGCGGGCGCAATATAAGAGAAGAGCGTATCGTTCTTCACCATGGAAATTGTGTTGATAGCGAAGAGAAACTGGTGCTCTTCGTTTGCGTTGGATGCAATTGACATGAAGGAGTTGGTCAGAACAGTGATGAGGATCGTCCTATCGAAAGTAAGTATCAGTTTTCCAGTTACCAGAGAGCGCCCACGTACACGATGACGAAGTGACAAATGATGAGGAACAAAGCCATCAAGGCCTTGCCCATCCAAGTGTACGAGTCCCACCTGCCGATTCGTTAGCCGTGTGGTCCGGAAATGTCGCTAAGGGATGTGTTTGTACTTACACTTCCCACGCGGCTGGTGTAAAGCCCATGAGGATCTGAAAGATCTTGTAGGCAAGCACATAAGGATCGTTTGTGTTCTTGGAAAGGGTAAAGAAGACAAAAAAGCCGCTACAGCACACCAATATGAGCACAAAAACAGCCGCCAAGTCGACCGCCATCAGCCGAAAGGCTATCAGGAGCTGCGAGAAATATTGGTAATGATCGAGAATGCTGAATATCCTCGGCAAGAGCAGGACCGCATTAGCAGCGAGGACATCGTAGGCATTTTCGTTCCATTTATGGGGTTCGAGAAGAAACACGCTGTAGATGCGCATGCAGTAGTAGACGATCAAAAGCAACAGGATACCTAGATCGAATATGTTCCAGAAGCTCATGATGTAGAGAGACAGGCCCTGCTCATTGAAGCCGACGATTTCGTCAAGCATAAAGCCAGCACTCCAAAACCAAAAAATCAACTCCAGGGAGGTGATTTTGCTCGATCTTTGGCTCAGAACGGCCAAGAAGAGCGCGATCAAGATGGCAAGGGAGCACGTGGAGAGTATTTGACGATATCGTGGGACCCGTAGCCGTGATAGTTTGAAAAGTGAAGCGGTTCGAGGATCATACAGGGTTACAAATCGCCGACCGGAAACGTGAGCAAGAGCCCGTCCATGGTCCTCCTTCGCTTGCTGCTGCTGACTCAACAGCGGTGTCCTCACCGTACTCTGGCGCCGAGACTGATTGCTACCAACAGCACTCGACGAAGAGCCTTGACGGCGAAGCTGGTCCTCGGTGGAGTGAAAGCTGATGGCACCGTTCCAGATAGCCTCCAACTGCATCACTACCAGAGGATGAGAGAGGAAGTGCTTGGCTGAAGCTCGGATGGCAACCTCAAGGGTTGAAGTCCGCATAGTGGCCGGGCTAGACCTGGCGTGTTGGGGAAGTGGTCCTTGGGACCCCGGGATACCCTGGAGAGGATAGAAGTCGTAGGAGAGTGCGTCGATGAGCTCCCGCGTCGTGTACTCTTTCAATATTTTGAGTGCCAACAGCTCACACACTTTTGCTCTGGTGCTGCTTGTTCCGGCATTTCCTGGGTACAACTGCCCTTCCTTCCCGAATTGCAAGCAATTGGCCATCAGGGCGTAGAGAGTGCCCCGAGAAAAGTGTTGCGTCCGTATTTGTTGCTGCATTGGTCTGATGAGAAACTGCGAAACCTGCGGGGATCTCAGTTGATCCCATGTTAATGTTGTTTCGGTTCTAGCTTGTACAATGATGCGGATGGCATGGGTCATGCTGTATATAGGGAGTGAATCTAGGACAATCATTAATCGCTGCCTCCTTATGGTCATTGAGGCCGCATATACATACCCAGATGACCTGCAGAAAACAGGGGTAAGCCGATGGAGTGACTGCGCCCATCCTCGTCTTCTTCGGTTTGAACACCAGCAGCCTGGTAACGGGACGGCTGCCCGTTATCATGGTGAGACTCATTTTCTTCGTCGTCGTCATCATCGTCGGCCTCGGTGAAGTCGGCAGCGGCGTGACGATGCTGGCGATACTCGCCTAGCGAAGCGACCGAGGCGCGATGCATTCGATTGGTAGGCGCAAAACGTTGTTCTACGTCTGGACGGTGGCCCTCATCCTGTGAATTCTCGCCCCTGCCAAAGGGCCGCAGCAGAGCGGACAACATTCTCCAGTCCGGGCTCGAAGTGCCCTGCTCGTTATTCGTAGCGCCCAAGCGCCATGGAAGTCGAAGGGTCGCGATATGTCGTCAAGGGATCGGTAAACTGGTGAAAGAGCGTCGAGGCTGCAGGAGGCAGATGTCGCACGCAGTTCAGTTCAGACCAGATGGATGCTCTAACAAGACATCTTGGCGCCGTCTCTAGACTGTCGCAAAAGACAAGACGAAAAGAGGGACACACGCGTGGACCGCGACTTGGGGTGGCCAAAAGTACAGATGAAAAGCCCCTGGGAGGAAGCCACAGCTGGGAATTGGGTGATACGTGAAGCGACCCCCAGATTCTGGACTGATAAGGTCGTGTCAGAACTTGGGCTCGCGGCGGGCACTGGCCTGATCCCTGCTCCTCAGATCTCCACAAAACCCGTCCGAGACTTGACGATGACTCCAGCTTCCAGCTCTGTCCTTCTTTTAATCAACAGAGAAGAAAAGAAGGGTTGTCCTGTCCTCGTGCTCTTTTCTCCTATTTTCAAGGTTGCACCACCCGACCCGACTCGCTTCCCACCATCTGGGTGTCTTTGGCGAATGGGCAAGCTCGGAGCACGCTGCAGAAGCGACCCCCGTTCCAGTTTCAACAACCACAACGAATCGCGGGGTCGAAAGTGGATTTCGCCGAGGCCAGCATGAGGAGCTGCCTCGAAGCGGTCTGAGGGGCCGCCTCTCATCTTCAGCACTCCCACGGCACCCACCTAGCGTCGTCGCCGGCCGAAGCTGAAGTTCGCCATCATCAACACATACACACCTCTTCTCCTTTCTTCTGACATTCCTGTCTCTATCTTATCATCGTGCATCAGAGAATGTCGCCATCGCCAGATCTGGACCCAGATGTTGGCCACATGACCGCACCGTGACCAGCTCAGGGTCCTTGATGGAGGGGTAAGGTTACAGCGGGGCTCCTGCAAAACACCTGCACGCTGCGACCATGGGTGTTGGATCTTGTCCCGCGCGTCCACCGGCATGCTCTCACGAAGTCGAAATAGCCAGCTCTGATAGCCAGCGTCTGACTCGCCTACCAGCCGCCGACGGTGGGGACTGGAGCCGATGCCGCAAGAACAAAAGGGTCCGGCAGCGGCTTCTCTTCAGACATCTCCAAGGACAACAGACTCACAAAGGTTCATCATCACTCTCATCAACAATATGACATTGTTCGGCAAGCTCCGTCCTCTCCGAAGCAGGCAGGCCGCGCCATGGCTTGACGAACCCTGCATATCCGGGTACAGACAGCTACCTCAGTTTGCTTATAAGGATGCCATCTGCTGTGCGAGTATTGGCAGCATGGCTCTAAGGCAGATATCCTTCCACGGTGTGGCTGACTACAGAGGAATAGAGAATGTCGCAGCTCGGAACCGCTTGTCATAGCCTGCCGGTACGGGATCCGTCTTTTACATGCCCCACTCGGCGCCGGTTACCCCACACCATCGGCTCCGGCACCTCTTACAGCCCCACTGCCACCCGAACTCCAAAAAAGTTGTAAGTGGGGCTCCACAGCACAGCTGAAGAATTCTTAAGCCCTCACTTCGACTCCTCTTCTACAACACAACGCAGATGGTCTGCTGGCGTAATTGGAAGCGCGTCTGACTACGAATCAGGAGGTTCCAGGTTCGAGCCCTGGGTGGATCGAAGGGCAAAGGTTCAACATAACCTTTTTTCCGTTATCTATTTGTACCTGCATTAGGGTGGTCGAGTTGTATCTAGTTCGAATCGAAATCACTTCTATTTTTTCACAAGCCTCTTTTCAAACAAAGCTGATATGGGAAGACAACATGGAAATCTCCAAAAACACATGGCTCTCTCGGTAGAGTGTGAGTCGAGATCTGGGGCTGAAAAATCCGATCCCAAGCGAGTCAATAAATGGCCAACCAGAACATCGGACAACGGCAGACCAGGAGAACGCTGCACCGGACTGTAGCATCCCCCACTATGAACTGGTGCGCTAACGCCTTTCCAGGACCCGTGATTGGCCAATGAGGAAAATTCCTGTCAAAGTCAATTGACCGCACAGGGAACCCCGCAGCAGCTTGTCACCACCGCCCTGGAAATCCAAAAAGTTTTGGACGGCAGTATGGAAATGTGGCGGGGCAGCAAGCTTAATACAAAATTCTGCCCTCCCGGCCGCCGACCACAACTTTCTCTTCTTGTTTTCTTTTGTTATCCAGAAGAGCTGCCAAACTCCAGAGCATGACGACCGCTGCTTGAACGACGACGACTCTTCTGGTATCACTCAAAATCACTTCTTTCTCATCCCACTGCTGCCCTCTGACGGCACAAGAGCTCTCCACCCCCCTGAACCCGAGCTCCCCACCATCCCGAGGACTCTCCTGTCTTTTCGCCGCGTCCTCCGTCCTCCGTTCTCGGTCAAAAAGTCATCATCCTCCTCCTTCTCACACGTTCGCTCCCCAATTCCTTCCCTTCTTCCTCCTACGACCAAACAATCCCTCTTCTCAGACACGATGGAGGCCAAACTCTACGCCCCCGCCACGGCGCCCCTCACCTCTTCCGAGAAGCTCGTCACTCTTGAGCTTCAAGATGGTGTGGTCTACCAAGGCTACAGCTTTGGTGCCCCCAAGAGCATTGCCGGTGAACTGGTGTTCCAGACCGGCATGGTTGGATATCCCGAGTCGGTGACAGACCCATCCTACCGCGGCCAGATTCTGGTCATCACATTCCCGCTGGTCGGCAACTACGGCGTCCCCTCGAGGGAAACAATGTGCGAGCTTCTGAAGGATCTTCCTGCCCACTTCGAAAGCCATCAGATTCACATCGCCGGTCTCGTCGTAGCCACCTATGCTGGCGAAGACTACTCCCACTACCTCGCCACATCCTCATTGGGCGCATGGCTCAAGGAGGAGGGCATCCCCGCCATGTATGGCGTTGACACCAGAGCGCTCACAAAGCGCATTCGTGAGGAGGGTAGCATGCTCGGTCGCATGCTGTTGCAAAACGACAGCCTCGCCGACCTGGCGGCTCTTAACAAGGCCGGCCAGGACTGGAGGCCATATTTCGAGCAACTCGAATGGGTTGATCCCAACAAGAAGAATCTCGTAGCGGAGGGTGAGTTTAGGAGAGACCTTAAGTCAGCCTCATGCTCACCATCTCTTAGTGTCCATCAAGAAGCCCAAGCTCTACAGCCCCCCATCGGCTTCGGCCCTCAAGCACTCTACCGGCCGGCCGATTCGTATCCTCTGTCTCGACGTCGGTATGAAGTACAACCAGCTCAGATGCTTCCTCAAGCGTGGCGTTGAGGTTCTCGTTTGCCCTTGGGACTACGATTTCTCCAAGGAGGAGTACGATGGTCTCTTCATCTCCAACGGTCCTGGTGATCCCGCTGTGATGAAGGATACTGTGAAGCACATCTCTGCCGCCCTTGCTGAGAACAAAACGCCCATCTTTGGTATCTGCTTGGGACACCAGCTTCTTGCCCGCGCTTCTGGTGCGCAGACAGTCAAGCTGAAGTTCGGTAACCGCGGTCACAACATCCCCTGCACGAGCATGGTGACTGGCAAATGCCACATCACTTCCCAGAACCACGGTTATGCCGTTGACGCTGCTACCCTTCCCACTGGCTGGCAGGAGCTCTTCGTGAACGCCAACGACGGCAGCAACGAGGGTATCATGCACGTCGACAAGCCCCACTTCAGTGTTCAGTTCCATCCCGAGAGCACCCCCGGCCCTCGCGACACCGAGTTCCTCTTTGATGTCTTCATTCAGACCGTCGTCAAGGCGTCCGAGGACAACAGTGTGCTTCAGAAGCCTGTCCACTTTCCCGGCGGTACTGTCGAGGAGAACAACAAGCTGCACCCCCGTGTGTCGGTCAAGAAGGTTCTTGTTCTTGGCAGTGGTGGTCTCAGCATTGGCCAGGCTGGCGAGTTCGACTACTCTGGCAGTCAGGCTATCAAGGCGTTGAAGGAGGAGGGCATCTACACCGTCCTCATCAACCCCAACATTGCCACCATTCAGACCTCCAAGGGTCTTGCGGACAAGGTCTACTTCCTTCCCGTCAATGCTGAGTTTGTTCGCAAGGTCATCATTCACGAGAAGCCTGATGCCATCTACTGCACTTTCGGTGGCCAGACTGCTTTGTCGGTTGGTATCCAGCTCAAGGATGAGTTTGAGTCTCTTGGTGTCAAGGTTCTCGGTACCCCCATCGACACCATCATCACCACTGAGGATCGTGAGCTCTTTGCCCGCAGCATGGACTCCATCGGCGAGAAGTGCGCCAAGTCTGCCTCAGCCAACAACCTCGAGGAGGCTATGCACGTCGTCAAGGACATTGGCTTCCCCGTCATTGTTCGTGCGGCCTACGCCCTTGGTGGCCTTGGCAGTGGTTTTGCCAACAACGAAGATGAGCTTCGTGAGCTGTGCAGCAAGGCCTTTGCTGCCAGTCCTCAGGTTCTCATCGAGCGCAGCATGAAGGGCTGGAAGGAGGTTGAGTACGAAGTCGTCAGAGATTGCCAGGACAACTGCATCACTGTCTGCAACATGGAGAACTTTGATCCCCTTGGTATCCACACCGGTGATTCCATCGTTGTGGCTCCTTCTCAGACCCTCTCGGACGAGGACTACAACATGCTTCGCACCACCGCTGTCAACGTCATTCGCCACCTTGGTGTTGTGGGCGAGTGCAACATTCAATACGCCCTGAACCCCTTCTCCAAGGAGTACTGCATCATTGAAGTCAACGCCAGACTGTCGAGATCCTCTGCTCTCGCCTCCAAGGCTACCGGCTACCCCCTTGCCTTCATTGCTGCGAAGTTGGGTCTTGGCATCCCTCTCAAGGACATCAAGAACTCGGTCACCAAGGTCACCTGTGCCTGCTTCGAGCCTTCTCTTGACTATGTCGTGGTCAAGATGCCTCGTTGGGACTTGAAGAAGTTCAACCGTGTTTCCTCCCAGCTCGGCTCTTCCATGAAGAGTGTTGGTGAGGTCATGAGCATTGGTAGAACATTCGAAGAAGCGATCCAGAAGGCCATTCGCTCTATTGACTTCCACAACTTGGGTTTCAACAAGACCGAGAGCGCTTTGATCTCGCTGGATGACGAGTTGCAGACCCCCTCTGACCAGCGTCTGTTTGCCATTGCCAATGCCATGTACAATGGCTACTCGGTGAAGCGCATCTGGGAGCTAACCCAGATCGACAAGTGGTTCCTCGACCGTCTTATGGGCTTGATTGACTATGCCAAGCACATGGAAGGTCTGAAGGGCCAGTCTCTCAACGCCAACACCCTGCTTCGCGCCAAGCAGCTCGGCTTCTCTGATCGCCAGATTGCCAACTTTGTCGGTTCTTCTGAACTGCTGGTCCGTGATGTGCGCACCAAGGCCGGAATCACCCCATTCGTGAAGCAGATCGACACTGTCGCCGCCGAGTTCCCCGCCTACACCAACTACCTCTACACCACCTACAATGCCAGCGAGCATGACATCGCCTTCAACGACCGCGGCGTCATGGTCCTTGGCTCTGGTGTTTACCGTATTGGCTCCTCAGTCGAGTTCGACTGGTGCTCAGTGAGAGCTATCCGCACATTGATGGAGTCGGGTATCAAGACAATCATGATGAATTGTAAGTTTACACTTTCGTTTCTCTCTCTCCTTTCCCATATGTTTTGAGGCCTTTGGACTATGTTTCAAGGCCTTTGGGCTATATTTCAAGGCCTCTCGGCTATCTTCGAAGGCCTATCGACGATCTTTCAAGGCCTATCGATTTTCATTCGAGGCCTCTGGACTATCTTGGAAGACCTATTTTATGTTTTCAAAGGCCTTGAAAGATAGCCGAGAGGCGTGTTGGCTATCTTCAAAGGCCTTATCCCCGAGTGGCACTCTGTATTTGTTTTGTCAACGGCGTCCCGGTTTTCAGTCTTCACACATTCTCTCAACCAGTTTGACACCTTCCCGCACCCTCCCAAGAGCTCTAGTACTAATATTTTGACCGAAAGGCAATCCAGAGACCGTAAGCACTGATTTTGACGAAGCCGACAGGCTTTATTTTGAGGCCACCACTGTGAGTTTTGACCCCCTGAGAATCTTTTTTCTCAATCCCCTGAGAACTTCTTGACCCCCTGAGGACCTCGCTCATAACGAATACTGACAATTCTGCAGATGGAGACTGTGCTCGACGTCTATGAAGTTGAAAACTCCCAGGGCGTTCTAGGCGCCATGGGTGGCCAAGGGCCCAACAACATTGCCCTGCCCCTGTTCAGAGCTGGCGTCAAGATGCTCGGTACCTCGCCTGAGATGATTGATTCTGCCGAGAACCGGTACAAATTCTCGCGTATGCTTGACCGCATTGGTGTCGATCAGCCTACCTGGAAGGAACTCACGAGCTTCGAGGAGGCCAAGGCCTTCTGCACCAAGGTCACTTACCCAGTGCTGGTCCGCCCCTCGTATGTTCTTTCCGGGGCTGCCATGAACACCGTCTACTCTGAGGGTGATCTCGAGTCCTACTTGAAGCAGGCCACCGCTGTGTCTCCCGAGCACCCTGTGGTCATCACCAAGTACATCGAGAACGCAAAGGAGATCGAGATGGACGCCGTGGCCAAGAACGGCAAGGTTGTTGGTCACTTTATTTCTGAGCACGTCGAGAACGCTGGTGTTCACTCCGGAGATGCCACTCTGGTTCTTCCTCCCCAGGACCTCGAGCCCACTACCATTCAGCGCATCGAGGACGCCACCCGCAAGATTGCTGATGCTCTCAACATCACTGGTCCCCTCAATATTCAGTTCATTGCCAAGGACAACGACATCAAAGTCATTGAGTGCAACGTTCGCGCGTCTCGCTCCTTCCCCTTCGTCTCCAAGGTCATGGGAGTGGATCTTATTGAGATGGCCACCAAGGCTATCATGGATGTTCCTTTCGAGGAGTATCCCAAGATCGATCGCACTGTTGACTCGGTTGCTGTCAAGGTCCCTCAGTTCAGTTTCTCGCGCCTGTCTGGTGCTGATCCTGTGCTGGGTGTCGAGATGGCCTCCACTGGTGAGGTCGCTTGCTTTGGCTCCGACAAGTATGAGGCTTACCTGAAGGGTCTCATGTCCACTGGCTTCAAGATCCCCAAGAAGAACATTCTGCTGTCTCTTGGTTCTTACAATGACAAGCTGGAACTTCTTCCCTCGGTCAAGAAGCTTGAGGAAATGGGCTACACCCTCTTTGCCACAGCAGGAACCTCCGACTTCCTGGCATCTCACGGAGTCAAGGCGCAGTACCTTGAGGTCCTTGGCAAGTCTGAACAGGAGGCTCAGAGAAGCGAGTACTCGCTGGTTGACCATCTGTCCAACAACAAGATCGACTTGTACATCAACTTGCCATCCAGCAACAGATACAGGCGCCCGGCCAGCTACGTGAGCAAGGGCTACCTCACTCGTCGTCTGGCTGTTGACTACCAAGTTCCTTTGGTTACCAATGTCAAGAATGCCAAGATCCTGATCGAGGCTATCGCCAGGCATTTTGAGCTGGAGGTCGGCATCACCGATTATCAGACCAGCCACCGTACTGTTCAGCTGCCTGGCCTGGTCAACATCGCCGCCTATGTGCCCGGTCTGGCTGTTAGGGACAGCGGGGATCTCCAGAGTGTCACCAAGGCTTCGATTGCTGCCGGATTCAGCATGATTCGCGTCATGCCCCTTGGAGAGGGTGAAGGCAACTCGATCACAGAGGCAAAGTCCCTCAAGATCGCCCAGCAGAACAGCAAGCGTGGTGGCTATTGCGACTTCAACTTCTCCGTCACCGCTACCTCTGACAATGCTGACAAAATCAGCCTTCTGGCCGGTGAAGTTGGCTCTCTGTTCATTCCTTTCAACCACATGTCCGGAAAGAACATCAGCAAGGTTGCTGCTGTCCAAGCACACTTTGATGCCTGGCCAACTCACAAGCCCATCATCACGGATGCTCGCACCACCGACTTGGCCTCCATCTTGCTGCTTGCCAGCCTCCACAACCGCCGCATTCACGTCACCGCTGTCACCACCAAGGATGACATCAGATTGATTGCTCTTTGCAAGGCAAAACAGATGAATGTCACGTGCGATGTGTCCATTTATTCCCTGTATCTGTCCCAGGATGACTATCCTGACTGCAGCTTCCTGCCCAATGCCAGGGACCAGGCTGCTTTGTGGCAGCACCTTGCCACCATCGACGTCTTCTCTATTGGAAGCCTGCCCTACCAGCTCGCTCAAAAATTGGGGAAGCCAACTGATGCCACTGTTGGCATCGCCGATGCACTCCCCCTCCTCTTGACTTCGGTTGTCGAGGGCAAGCTCACTATTGAGGATATCATGACACGTCTCCATGACAAGCCCAAGGAGATCTTTGAGCTCCACGACCAGATTGGCACCACTTTGGAGGTCGAGGTTGGCCGCACCTACACCGTCCCTGAGACCGGCCCCTGGTCTCCCTTCGCTGGGAAGGTTCTGAAGGGCGCTGTTCAGCGTGTGACATTCCAGGATCAGGTCGCATGCCTCGATGGCGTCGCCGTGGAAGGTCCCCCCAAGGGCAAGGACATGTCTACTCACGGAGCCATGCCTGCCATCGCCACCATCACCTCTCCTGCCTTGAAGCCACTTAGCCAAGCGTTGTCCCCGTTGCCAGACTCGAGACTCCTTGCGTCTCCTGCCCCTGGCCCCTTCACAAACAAGTTGCAGCAGCTTCTTTCCATGGATTCCCCATTCAGGAAGAAGCATGTTCTTTCCGTGACATCCTACAGCAGGCAGGACCTGCACCATCTCTTCGACGTTGCTGAGGAGATTCGCAACCGCGTCGACCGCCAGGGTGTCCTTGACATTCTTCGCGGACGCCTGCTCGCCACCCTCTTCTACGAGCCGTCTACTCGCACCTCTGCCTCTTTCGATGCCGCCATGCAGCGTCTTGGCGGCCGCACCATTGCCATTACCACCTCGACTTCGTCGGTTCAGAAGGGTGAAACTCTCCATGACACGTTGAGGACGCTTGCCTGCTACGCAGACGCTGTCGTTCTCCGCCATCCTGATGAGAATTGCCTTGAGGTTGCCCCGATCATCCCTGTTCCCATCATCAACGGCGGTAACGGAAGCAAGGAGCACCCCACTCAAGCCTTCCTTGATCTCTTCACCATCCGCGAGGAATTTGGCTCCATGAAAGACTTGACCATCACCTTTGTTGGTGATCTCTTGCACGGAAGACCCGTCCACTCCCTTGTGTACCTCCTCAAGCACTACCGCGCCAACAACGTCAAGGTCAATCTGGTTTCCCCCAAGTCTCTGGCCTTGCCGAAGGATATCTATAGGGACCTCAAGGAAGCTGGCCAGATTCTCTTTGAGAGTGAGAGCCTTACTCCCCAGATCTTGGAGTCCACCGACGTGCTGTACGTCACCCGCGTGCAAAAGGAGCGCTTCGAGGATCTCGCCGAGTACGACAGAGTCAAGAACTCTTACCGCATCGACCAGAGCACTCTCCGTAACACAAAGCCCAGCATGCGCGTGATGCATCCTCTTCCCAGAAATGAGGAGGTTGCTGAGGAGGTGGACTTTGACCAGAGAGCCGCGTACTTCAGACAGGTGAGCACCCCCCCTTTTTCTTTCTCGTTCCTGAATAAACACTGACATACGACAACAGATGAAGCACGGTCTCCACTGCCGCATGGCTTTGCTCGCTCTTATTCTTTCTTAGAAGGAGTCGAGTTGATCATGACATCTATAGAATGACGTTTGCTTTTTGTTCATTTTCTTTCAATAGTTATTATATATGGGACGGATGGGAAAAAGGGTATGGATGGGAAAACTGGAAGGCATGTTGATTTTTGCGTTCTATTTGCTTTTCGAGTCAGTGGTATCTACGATAGATAGATCCTAGACCAAACGACTCTCCTGGACCGAGAACGACCTTGGAACCCTTTTTTTTCTTCTGGTAGCATTTTCTTTGTTTGATGATATCTCATGACTTTGTACGAGTGATACCCTTTTGCATTGGGATGGCGTATGTATAGGTATGTTTTATGCACATGTATTTGGGTTGCATGTAGAGGCGTATGTGCGTTTGGGTTGGGTTTGGGGTGCTTTGTATTTATTGTATTTATATGTAGCATTAGATATGTCCATAATTGGATAACAATTCAATAATCTGCTTTTTTGTGTTTTGTTGTGTCCTCTTTTTGTCCAGTGTTGTGATGATGGATGGGATGGTATCGAGTGTAAGAACATACAGAATCTCAGCACGAGAATCGTCCTCTCTCTGAATCATCTCCTGTTCCACCCGTCTGCGCGATGTCGGAAGAAAGCTAGGTGGCGTGAGGGCTCCTTTGATCAGATTGCGGCTTGATTTATGTTTTGTTGCGTTTTGTTCTACCTGTTATGCATACATTCTACCGATAATTGAAGTAGATGAGATTTAGGTATGTTACTTTTAGATGCCACCACCACTCCGATCCACGCTCACGTAGAGGTCTCCCGCCTTCCTCCGCGCCGACTCGTTCTCCCTGGTGCGGGAGGAGGAGACTTGCTGGACGGCGAGGGCTGTGAGGGTTAGAGCTAGGGTTGCGGCTGCTAGGCGGGGGTTGCGGCTGTGAAAAGGGGCGTGTTAGTCAATGCTGGCAAAGGAATTGAAACTGTGAGAGGGGAGAGAGGGGTTTGGTGTAAAGACATAGAGCAATTTGATGACGTGGGGTAAGACTTTGCTGTGGTTGACATGAGAGGTAAGTTGAACGCTCGACTTCCGAATCGGGAGAGATAAGATAAGATGAGATGAGATAAGATGGGACATACCTCACGCCGCGCTTCATGGCGGGGGAAGAAGTAGTAGTGGTGGTGGTAGCTGCGGCAGCTTGACGGATGGGAGTGTGGGAGGGCATTGTGATATGTGATGGAGTTTTGGGGGGTGAGCTATCAAGATGTTGAAGTTGTTGGAGAGGTATGGTAGGTAGGTATGAAGTATGAAGGCGGTGAAGTAGACGGATGCGATGATGTTATGTCAAGAGTAGCGTGACGGATATAGCAACAAAGATCTTCAACGGGACAGAAGGTAAATAATGATGCTTCTCTAGATAATGGAATTGTTTTGCGAAAGGAGGAAGACAGAGAAGATCAAAACCCCTTGATCTGTTACTTTCTTTACTTTTGAGCTGCCCCAAACGTTCGAGGCCCGGTCCCTAGGGGGGCAACAGTGGCACGCGACCAGGTGCATTGCATGAGGCTAGCTAGTCGGTGTTAGTGTGCTGCTGCGTAGCAGTGTTGCTGCCCCGCGATAAGATTGGGCAGGGTGAGCTTGGCTGCCGGTGTTGGTTACCTAAGGTGGCGCACTGTACGGTTTTGATATCCGTCAGAGCACGGTGTTTTTGTTTTGTTGGGGGTGAGGTTGAAGGTGGTAGGTTAGGTGCGGGGCATTGGGATGATGATGACATGACATGACTCGGAGGTTACCGTGTTTCTGGGTTGGGGACTTTCTGCTTTTGGCGGGAATGTCGCAGATGTTATGCAAGGAGGGGAAAGTCGGGTTGTTTGGGGTTACACTGGGCTGATTGGCGATGAGGGCGGCGGTCATGGCGAGGATGTCATGGAATCAGAGAGGGAGAGTTTTTGGGCGAGGAGGAGTGACATTAGAGTTGAAATGACGTCCAACATTGAAGGTTTGGATGGTGTACGTACGTTCTGACGGTTGACAAGAGGTGAGGGGCTGTCAAGTTGAAGGTCAACAGCTAGTGTTTGCATGGCAGTGGTGGTCAAGCAGTGATGTCCGATGATGAGACATGTCATGGGTAGTGAATTTTGAATGGCCATCATAATCTTGGAACTTCAAATTCCGTTGTCTACTGGAACATCAATCTTTCAAGAGTTCATTGAACCACTTTGTTGTTGGCGTTGCAGATGCATCAACACGTGGATGTGTCAGTCAATTAACGCGCAATGATTGGTCAAGAAGCTAGTATCAGTGGAGAGGGCTTCAACGCCTTGACCTATATTCTTCAACATCAGCAAGCCTCGTCAGAGTGAGGACGTGGTGTGCTGCATGGATATGGGCTTCGGGCTTGCATTTGAGAACAGTATCTGTAAGTATTTCCATTGCGACTCTTTCCGCTCCATGTTATATTGACTGACGAGCTTGGGCGGCGGCGGCAGATCAGAAGCTGGGAGCTCGACGTGCTTGATAGGGCTGTTGGGGGCTGTGTAGCATGTAGCTGCAGCTCCTCGTTGTTCGGTTGGCGAATCGAGTGAGGCGGAATATTTGTATGTTTGATGGTTAATATGTTCAAATATGACTGGCGCTGGACCCGGCTGCTGCCTGGCTGAGGCATCCTCTTTCGTTGAGCCTTTATGACGAGCAGGCCGCGAATACCCTTTCAGTGCGCATTTGAGGACAATAGGTCGTTGCAGTTTTTAGGCCATCTCAAAGCTGGAATGTCCGACCATCTTCACGTTCCCATTCCAGTTCATCCATTGTTCTTTCAGAGGAGCTCCCCCGCGCTTTCCTTTCACACCGACAACGTGGCGGGGTAATTAGTTACCAGCTTAAACTTCGCTGACGACCGCCATTTTGATATTGACCTTCAGTTTTCCTTCGGCTCGCGAGCTCGCGTGGCATCAAACTTAGCTTGGACCAATCCCCTATCGCTTGCTGGCTCGCATCATCAGCATTCGCTGCCTATCCCGTCGTACGGAAAAGCGTCATGGAGCAACAACAACTTATCGATCAACTTATCGACGACTGGGCGAGTACGCCCAGTCCACCGGCACAAGACAATATGCCTATGGCTACTGAATCTGGATCACCAAGAGCTGTAACCTTCAGTGAGCCCCAACCGGAGCCCCCAAAACCACATCAACCCCATCCTGCGACTCGAAATGCCATGCAGCAGAACTTCATGGACATCGTGGCTACCAGATGCCACCTCGCCCCAGCCAAAGGCAAAGATACCTCCGTCTTGGCCTTTATCATCTTTCCCAAAGACTACATTGGAACCACTTGTGACGGCAGCCGATGGGGTGATTTCAAGCTCCGTATGAGCTACGGTTCGCTCATCGCTCTCAATTCTGCTAAGATCAACAACATGTTCAAACCCCGGGCCCAGGAGCGGTTCCGTCGCCGACTGGCTACTGACCTAGGTGTGAAAGACCTGCCGGAAGGTGTCAAGTATGTTCTGGACTTCACGCCTCCGGTTGAGGGAGCTGAGCTAGCAGACCTTACTGCGAAGCTCTGGCTGCCCAAGATGGTCAAATTGTGGTTTCTTGCTGGCCACTATTCGCCAGACCCAGTCCTCAAATGTTTCCAAGATACTGATTTCCGGAGCCGGCTGATGGCAGACTCTGCAGTTGGCGCCATCATGGTAATGGGGCATGATGATATTTGCAGACGTCAGAACTGTGAGTTTTATTGCCTCGTTAGATGTGGCTTTCTTGTTGCTAATAGTGCGATTTAGGCCTTACTGATGCATCTCCGTGGGAAGTTGCCAGCAGTTGCCCGGGAATTGTTCCCGATGACGAAAGTACCCCGATGTGCCACATCCCCCCTTGGCGAAGAATTGAGGATTATTGTCCCATACGGCATCGTGTCTGCATCATGCGTGTTTTGCAGGCGATCAACGGGAAGGATCTGATGCTGAATTCGGCAGTAAGAATGTGGACCGTCGCACAAGTGGCCATCTCTCTGGAGGTTCCACAGGTCGTGGTAAGCATCAATGACCCTGTCGTTGATCTTGATGGCAGGCTTACTGACTTTGCTCAGGTTGACCCGGTCACCCAATGGCTCAGTGCTCCTCCAAACACAAAGTTCACAGAAATTTGTCCCGAAAAAGCGTTTGAGCTTGCCTACGCGCTCAGAATCCCAAGTATCTTGACGGCCGCCTTCAAGATCCTGGTCAGCGAAACTGCCGTCGACTACGCCAAAGCGCTCCGGTCGCCACGTCTTCCTAAAGAAAGCTGGGTGCAGCGTCCCCGAGATGACTACGGCGACTTCCCTTCTGATCCCGTCGAATACGGCGCCCGGGCTTTTCTTGATAGGATGACGGGCAAATACAAGTTGCTCAAATCTGATGCCGTTTTCAACTATCTCCCCACCCGGATCGCTGAATGGGACAATCTCATGGCGACGAAACAAGTTATCGATCGGTATGGGCATTCTGAGGTGAAGGAGGCCTATGAGCGACTGACCAGGGGGTTGGTACATATCGTTCACGAGTACGTGGACAGAGTGATGACAGCTGAAACGCAAGGTTGCGAGATTGATGGCCTTCCGCAGAAAGTGGTCGAGTTGGTGGAGGCTCAACGACGGCATTACGTCCCCGCAAAGTCCCATTTGCCCTTGCATCTGGTGTACTCAAAACTGGATCCCTCGCAAAAGGTTCTCACGCCGTACTTGTGGAGGAGTTTGCGCGAGAAGCTCGAGACTCTTGCGGAGATGGCGAACACGAAGGTGGATGGTGATTATCTAAAACAGCTTAGGCTCACATTTAACAAGGAAATGTCGAGGATTCGCCATCCTGAGGCCGTGGAAATGTTGAGCGACATTGCGAGTGCTGGTGGTGGCAATCGCCAAGTCTGGACGGGGTGGTTTGACCTGTTCAAGTTCCACAGCGGGTTGCACTATGCGCTCAAGGACTTGACCACCAGGGTGCTGGGGCATCACGATGAGAACATGTTTTCGTTCTTCCTTTCGGACCACTTGCTGCTGAATCTTGAGGATAGCGAGCTCAAGTACTTGCCGATTTGGGCGGATGGTGGGTTGGATGACGGGTCGGGGGGTGTTTTTCAGGAGGTCATTCCCGAGGCGGAGATGGGGCCGAGTGAGCCCGGGCCGGGTTATCATACGGGGTATACGGTTGCGGGGACGGACACGGACATGGCCAGTACGGTTGGGTATGCGCCTACGATGGTGAGTAAATCTGATTTGGGGTTCGGAGAGCTGTTGTTGGATGATGCGACGGTGGCGAGGAGTGTGAGTGTTCAGCAGACTGGGGCTGGGGAGAGCGAGTGGGGTGGGATTATATCGGATAATAAGAGGAGGGTGGTGGCTGTGCCGAGTGAGATGACGAGCGAGGATCGGTTTACGGAGGGAGAGGATGGGGAGTGGAATGAGGCTATGTATGAGAGGCCGGCGGGGCATCAGGCTGTTGGGCAGGCGTTGGAGGAGTATGTGGAGGAGCCGGGGTTGGAGGGTGGCTCTTTGAAGGGGAAAGGGGTGGACGATGTCATGAGTCTGGATGATGACGATGATGACGATGGGACCTCGACGCTGGACGGGTTTGAGGATATGGATGATGTGAACTTTGGGCTTTGAACATTTAAGGGGGTTTATGTGGGGTTTTGTAATCTGAAGGAATTTTTAGGCTGGGGGATATGATTTTAAGAGCAGATCTGCTGAATATCTTTGTCTTTCCTCTGTAGGAGGGGGATGAATTCACTTGAAATAAGGGTCACGATCTTGAGCAAGGCGTTTCGGTGTTTACTCGGGCTCTACCTAAACAATGTAGATTTTGATAATTTTCATGTCAATAAATGGATATAGATGAGGGAAAAGACCATCATGGTCATCCTGATTTTTCCATCCGAGCTTTGTTAACAACAATGGCTGTCAAGCGCTGCTCAGTCTAGTAACTCCTGTCCGAGCGTGAGTAGCCGTCATGCTCAAGACGAGGTTGTGGTCGCCGTCGTTGTCGGACTCTTCGGTGCCATGGTTGCTCTCACCGTCGCTGTCCTGGTCCGACTCTTTGGTGGAAGAGCTGCTTGGATCTTCGGTACTCGAACTGCTTGACGCTTCGTCACCGGCGTCGGGCATCTCCAAGTCACTGGGGCTTGCTCTCCTCGTCACTGGTGTTGTCCGACTCTTTGGCACTGGTGGGAGGGGGCGTTGAGGAGCGCGAGCGAGCGGGGCCACTTGCTGTATACCTAGATGATCCCAGCGTGAATACCTAGGCGGGCTAACTGTATGTGCCATCTCTTACGGCCTTCCATAGGTCTGGTGGCATTCTTCCCATTTCGGCCATCAAGTCCCGGTGGTGATGGCATGCTGCCCCCTACGATCATGACATCAATGCTACGATGATGAAGACCTGAATAACCTGGAGGCCTGGTTACCTATCTTGGATAAGGTTTCCATAGACCGGACGATGGAGTCGATGGTGAAGAAGCCATAGACGCCGTCGTGGGCGAGGGGCTCGCTGAAAAGGGTTCGTGTTGAACAGGATGAACGTAGGGGAGCACTGTGAAGAGGCGGAAGTTTCGGGACATGATTCTTGAACAAAACGCTAGGAGTAAACGGTAGGTGTGCAGTGAAAGAGCAAAAAGAAGGTATTTTACTTATTTTCGTCCGAGCTCGAAACACACAGAATTGGTATGTACCACCGGCTAGACATTTGACAGGTGTCTTTGGAAATATAACTTTATTGCTGCAAATCCAACCCCCGTGGATGTCATCTGCACCTAATCGTCAGCCTTCAAGTACAGCAGCTCTACCTAAGCCCCTTTATTCACACTGCCTCATGAGGAACGGTGACATTTCGCAATGATTTTACTCTCCTATGGATGCACTATGGGTATTCTATCATCCCTCAACACCTTCTTTCCATACATCATATCATACTTCAACCTCGCCCCTATCTACACCACCCTAACCACGGTTGATCGTATTACCAGCCCCCCTGGGGTTCTCCTCCACAAACTCATCCCACGCCCTAGCCTTATACATCTCCTTCTCGGCCTTTTCATAATCATCCTCATCCGGCTCCGGCACCTGCCCACTTGCCTCCCCTCCCCCCTCAATAATCCCACCTCTCCTTCTCTCTTCCTCCAGGTACTCATCAATCGTCATTGTCGGCAGATTATGACTCGGCCTAAACACCCCCTTGGCAATCTCCTGCCTGTTTGCCAAGAGCGTAAACGGCTGCAGTGGCTTCCCCTGCTGTGACAAAATCGGTCCTCCTTTCCCTCCAAGAGCACGGTTCATTATATCTAGTCTGTCGTTGTAACTGCCATCGCTGGTTATCCCCCGCCTACGCCTATCATCCTCGGCTTGCTGCTGGTTTTGCTGGGCCGATGGAGGTGGTTGGGGGGGTGCCATGGACAAGATCTCCATTTCCCGATTTAGAGAGTCGAGGGCGTTGAAGGTAAGGTGAACACGATAAGCTAGGTTAGCTAGGTGGACTTCTCGGACGACTTCCTCGTCGCCTGCTCCCGAGGGGATGTCTTCATCTTCTGTGGCGCCATACTCTGGACGGGCGCGGAGATAATCTAACTTTTGGCGGAGGGCTTTTTCTGTTTGGAAGTTTGCGATTTTGGCATTCCGGCGGACTGTTGGGTCGGAGGAGTTGGCGGTTGAAAAGGTGGATGGGGAGGAGGTGTAGGCTTCGAGGAGTTTGGCTGATTGGGGGGTGAGGAGGGAGTAGCTGTCTAGGAGGTGGAGGAAGCGCTCGTAGAAATCGCGGGCGGAGGTGAGGATTTTTTTGCGCTCGGGAAGGGAGGGGGTGGGGAGCTTTTGGGAGAGCTCGGCGAGGTGGTAGTTGATTAGGAGGAGGGGGAGGTCGGAGGTGGAGAGGTCTTCGAGAGATTCGTTGGGGGAGAAGAGGGAGAGGTGGGATATTAGGTGAAGGGACTCTTGGTAGTTCTTGATGGCGGAGGAGATGGCGTCGGTGTATTCTTGGGAGTTGGGAGTGAAGGCCTGGGTTTCCAGAGCGATGCGCTGGGCTTCGGCGTCGGCGAAGACAGCTTTGAGGGAGCGAGGCTCGGTTTCCATGGTTGCCTTCTATTCGATCAAAGGGTCCGAAAATGAATTGTATTTTTCAAAGAGCTTTAGTTTCTCGGTCGGTGCTGGTGGATGCTGGTGTTGTCTTTGGCGGCCGCTTGATGTGGAGGGAGGGGCACTTGGAGAACCTGGAAATCCTGGCAGGGGTCCCTGAGCTCGGTCGACCCCACTTTGAAACTTCCCTGCTGTAATAGAGCTGCCCCTCGTTTAATCTTATAATCTAATCTAATCAATCAACGACACGTCACTGTTTGGGGGGCACTCTCCTGGTGATCAAATCTGGGAGCAGTAACGGTCATAGCGAGTAGAGGAAGTTCTATAGCGGTTATCACAAGATTCACCTGCTCCAAGAAAAGTCCTCTCATCAAAACATGATTATTGACTGACAGATCTGTCATGTGGGCAGCTGCTGCCTCGATCGGTAAGTGGGGCGACTGACGGCACAATGGCGACCTTCTTCAACCATCGACTAACTTCTTTGGTGATGCATCAGACCATCAGGTTTTCCAAGAGCACTGCCTATAACACCGCCCATGCGCGTCAGCCCCCGTCGCTTGCCCTCTCTTTCCGTGTTTGCCAGAGGAACCCGTTTGATCGGCTCAAGCAACAGCAGAATGGCGCTTCATCCCAAGCAAGACGACAAGCTCATATGTATGTTTGACACCCGGCGCTTTTGGAAACGAGAAAATAGCTAACACGCCATACAGTCGCCCCCACCGGGACACCAGCACTACTGGATTCAGGCCCTACACTTCCTCCTGGACAGGCCGCCCAGTTCTTGAAAGCTGAGCGCCAAGGCGGTCTCAAGAGGACTGACGTCGACCCGGAGAGCCCTATCACACAATTCCACACATGGTTCCAGCAAGCCTCGCTTCCCGAGGCCGGTGTTTTTCACCCAGAGACATGCACATTATCCACTGCCCAGCTTCCCTCTGGCCGTGTCTCCTCTCGGGTGGTATACATGAAGGAGCTTGATCACAAGGGATTTGTCATTTACAGCAACTTTGGAACCAGCGGTAAGGCTAGGGATTTGTTTGGCACCGCAGATGGGAAGAGTACAGGCAATCCATGGGCCTCTCTTGTGTTTTGGTGGGAGCCCTTGGAGAGGCAGGTCAGAGTAGAGGGAAGAGCAGAGAGACTTGCGCCAGAGGAAAGTCAAGTCTATTACGACACCAGAGCAAGAGGTAGTCGCATTGGTGCGTGGGCTAGTCAGCAGAGTTCAGTGCTGAAGCCCGATGCGAGCAAGGAGGGTGATGACGGGCGGTCACAGTTGGAGGGATGGGTCAAGGAGACAGAGAAGAAGTTCGAGGGTGCCGAGCAAATTCCAGTTCCTCCATTCTGGGGCGGCCTCAGAATTATTCCAGAACGAGTGGAGTTCTGGCAGGGGAGGCAGAGCCGGTTGCACGATCGGTTTGTGTATGACCTTGTCGAGTGTGAGGATGGGAGCAAGAAGTGGCAGTTGGAGAGGCTAAGCCCATAAAGGGGACAGCGTCAAAACACACAGCTTTCTCAGTTAGGATTTGAGCCTTAATAAACTTGTTCACATTCACAGGTTTCCCATCTCCCAGAGTTGAGCTTCGTGATCGGTCGAAATCGAGGTTTGTTGCTCTACGCGGAAGCCTGCGGATAGTTGCAGAAGCTGATAGCTCCAGACTCAGAGACCACATCTTTCGCAGCAATCAACTGATCTGTTCAACTTTTTAGAGCGTTTTCCGGGTGCCGCCTTTTTTCAATTTTATTAGATTTCTTTTGGCTGCTCCGGGAAGTCGCAACTGATCAGAAACACCTGCTCCGATCGCACCTTCTTCTTCAGTGGGAAAGCTCCCTTCTTGCGCCTTCTGCCTACAGAGCAATTTTAACCCATCAATATCTGCCAACACTACCGGCTCTCATCAAACACTCTCCCAAAACTTTCACCGAACACTCTCACAGCCCGTATCTTTTCTCACTCCTACCCTATCTACCCAACTGCGCCACCGTGCTTTTCTCGCAACAAACTCGACTACCTTACCCATCCTTCTCACAACGCTGCCGAAGATGTCTCCGGGTGTGCTGCTATCACCGCCGGGCAGCCTAGTTGAGGGCGACCTATTGAGTCTGTATGGTTCAACCCCACACACTGCAAGTCAAACCTCGCCAGATGCCAGCAGTGAGGCGAATGACGATGTTGACACCGACGGAGACGAGGACGATGGCGGTGGTGGAGGCAAGATATTCGAGGTCAACGATCCGCCAGGGCCGCGCAAGATGTCCGAGAAGAAGAGAGCAGACAATGCAAAGTTCGACATTTGGCTAGAGGAGAACCAGCAGAACCTGTCCAAAGGAGCTGGGAAGCTGGTGTTGGATGAGGAGAGGTCTGCCAACTGGCTGATGCGCGAGTTCGAGAACAAAAAGATCATCACGAGCCCGCGAGATTACCAGCTGGAGCTTTTTGAGCGGGCCAAGACCCAAAACACAATCGCAGTGCTGGACACCGGTATGTCTATCACTTGAACACTCCTTGGAACTCACATGGGCTAACTTCTGTTACAGGATCGGGAAAAACGCTCATTGCCGCCTTGCTTCTGAGATGGACGATACAAAACGAGCTCGAGAACCGATTCCAAGGCCAACCGAAGCGCATTGCCTTCTTTCTCGTGGACAAAGTAGCTCTCGTCTTTCAGCAGCATGCAGTCCTGACGTGCAACCTGGACTACTCGGTAGCCAAGTTTTGCGGACAGATGCTCGATCGATCGTCAGCGGAGTTTTGGGAAACCACATTCCAGGAGAATATGGCCATCGTCTGCACCTCGGAGATTCTCTACCAATGCCTCCACCATTCATACATCCGCATGGACCAGATCAATCTCTTGATATTTGATGAGTGCCATCATACCAAGAAAAACCACCCCTATGCCCGGATCATCAAAGACTTCTACATCCAAAATGAGGACAATGAAGCACGGCCGCGCATCTTGGGAATGACCGCCTCTCCTGTTGATGCCCAGATTGATCCAAGAATTGCTGCCGCTGAGCTCGAGGGTTTGCTTCACAGCCAGATCGCCACAGTTTCTGACCCAACCATCATTCAACATACCATCAGTTGTCCAAAAGAGGAGATAGTTCTGGAGTACGACAGAAGGCCTCGGCAGTGGACGACCCCTCTTCACCAGTCCATCAAGGCTCTGGTTGGGAACCATGATTACTTCACAAAGGCGTTTGTTTTCACCTCACAAGCAACAGCTGAACTGGGGCCATGGTGCGCTGACCGGTACTGGCAACTCTTCTTCAACCAAGAGGACATTGCCAAACTCGAGACCCAAGCGGAGCGAAGTCTGCTTCGCCAAGGAGCCTTCAGCCAACTCATGGGTCTTGACAAGAACAGGGTGCGGGAGGCTCACGAGCTTGTGAAAAATCATGAATTTGAACAGCCTATTCTGGACACTCGGCTATTCTCCTCCAAGGTCATCGAGCTCTGGAAGACTCTTCATGATCAGTTCAGCAGTCAGGATCTTGTGAGACGATGCATCGTCTTTGTGAAGCAGAGAAACACAGCAAACATTCTCGTTGACCTCCTCAAACAGCCGGAACTCAAAATTCCTGGTCTTGAGCCAGGTATTCTTGTAAGTTGACCCCTCTAGAAAATATCAATTTCTCTAACTCTAGTGAACAGATTGGCGGCGGGAGAAATGATTCCAGCTGGGAGAGCTCCAAGACTAGCTACCGCGATCAGGTCCTGACCATCATCAAGTTCAAGAAAGGAGAGCTCAACTGCATCTTTGCCACCTCGGTCGCGGAAGAGGGCCTTGATATTCCTGATTGCAACATCATCATCAGGTTCGACTTGTATGACACGTTGATTCAGTACATCCAATCTCGTGGGCGCGCTCGTCAAGAAAAGTCGACCTACATCCACATGATTGAGAGAGGGAACTCAGAGCAATTGCAAAAGATGAAACAGCTCAAGCAGAGCGAAGACGGACTCAGGAAGTTTTGCGAGGCGATGCCGGACACGCGAAAGCTGACCGGAAACAACTTCAAAATGGACTACTTTCTGAGGAAAGAGAAAGGCCAACGACAGTACACTGTTCCGGAGACTGGGGCAAAGTTGAACTACAAGCAGAGTCTCATCTGTCTTGCCAACTTTGTGTCATCACTCCCACACCCGCCAGAAACGAACCTAACACCGGAATACACGGTCAATACCACCGAGGGCGGGTTTCAGTGTGAAGTCATCTTACCGGCTATATCTCCGATCAGATCTGCCATCGGAAAAGTGCACGGCAGCAAGGCAGTAGCCAAGTGTTCAGCGGCCTTTGAGATGTGTCTTCAGCTTGTTCGGGGCAACTATTTGGACACTCACCTTCGACCAACTCTTACCAAGCAGCTCCCCGCCATGCGTAATGCCCGTCTTGCCATCAGTTCCAAGAAGAAGGAAGAGTATGGCATGCGCATGAAGCCGGAGGTCTGGTCAACTCTCGGCGAGCCCACCGAGCTCTTTGCAACGGCCCTGACTTTGGAAAGTCCAGAGTCACTTGGCAGACCGTCATTACCACTGTTGCTGCTCACACGAAGACGGATTCCTCAAGTTGCTTCGTTCCCGATCTATTTTGGAAAGTCTCGTTCCTCAATCGTCAATTTCGTACTGGCAGATGAACCCATTGAGGTGGATGAAGCGGAGCTAACCAGCTTGACCGCCTTCACTCTCTCGATATTCAAGGATGTTTTCAGCAAGGAGTACGAGGCGACATTTTACGACTTGCCTTACTTTCTGGCTCCGACTTGCAAAGACCACTCCTCCGACTTTTCCGCGCCGGCATCAGACGAGCTTATCGATTGGGACACCGTCAAATACGTCCAAGAAAATAACATCGTTACTTACAACTTTGACGAACCGGATGACTTCTTCGAGCACAAATACGTGTGGGACCCCTGGGATGGTGCTCGCAAATTCTACCTTCGTGGACGCCGTCACGATATGAAACCTACGGACCCTGTGCCCGAAGGCATTGTCGCCCCCGGCCACAGGGCTTGGAGGACGACGTGTGACGCGCATGACATTCTGAACTACAGCAACAGTCTGTGGTCCAAGTCCCGAGCCAAGTTCAAGAGCCGGGGCGACCAAGCAGTGGTGGAGGCTGAACTATTGTCCACCCAGCGTAACCTTTTGGATGACAGTCTGGAGGGCGAAAACTTGGAACCAAAGCAGTGCTTCTTGGTTTTAGAACCATTAAAGATCTCACCAGTAAGGTACCCATTTTCTGAGTCGGATATTGCAACGCTAACAGACTGCAGCTTCCAGTTCAGGTTGTGGCTATGGCCTACAACTTTCCTGTCATCATTCACCGTGTCGATTCCAACTTGGTTGCCTTGGATGCGTGTAACATGCTGGGATTGAATATCAGGCCAGACTTGGCGCTTGAAGCCTTCACCAAGGACAGCGACAACACTGATGAACAGGATGTTGAGCAGGTGAATTTCCAGCGCGGCATGGGCAACAATTACGAGAGACTGGAGTTTTTGGGAGATGCTTTCCTCAAAATGGCCACCACAATTGCCATCTACACCCTCATCCCTGACAAGGACGAGTTTGAGTACCACGTCGAGCGCATGGTCTTGATTTGCAACCGGAACCTCTTCAACAACGCACTTGAGGTCAAGCTAGAAGAGTACATTCGATCCATGGCTTTCAACCGCCGCACTTGGTACCCAGAGGGCTTAACTCTCAAGCGCGGCAAACGAAAGGACATCAGGAAGAAGCATGTCTTGGCCGACAAGTCTATTGCCGATGTCTGCGAGGCCATCATCGGCGCCGCCTACCTTACTGCACAGGAAGCTGGCAACTTTGACATGGCCATTCAAGCAGTGACGAGAATGGTGAATGACAAGAACCATACGATGCAGACATGGTCTGACTACTACGCAGTGTACAAGAAACCTGCATGGCAGACTATGCCAACAAACAGCGTGCAGGAAGACATGGCCGAAAAGTTTCACAAGAGGATGGGTTATCGATTTCAATATCCCCGTCTGCTGAGGAGCGCGTTCCAGCACCCGACTTACCCAACCTCGTGGGAGAAGCTTCCCAGCTACCAACGTCTTGAGTTCCTTGGCGACGCTTTGTTGGACATGGCATGCATTGACCATCTCTTCCATCGCTTCCCAGGGGCCGACCCCCAGTGGCTGACCGAACACAAGATGGCCATGGTCTCCAACCAGTTCTTGGGCTGTCTCGCAGTCTACATTGGCTTCCACCGATCTCTCCAGCACAGCTCGCCTGCGGTCCAGTCCGAAATCGCGTCGTACGTCACAGAAATTGAGGAGGCCCTTGCCGCTGCGAAAGCCGCTGCCGTACAAGAAGGCAAGTCAGAGTCCAATTTTGCGAGAGACTTTTGGGTGGACTGCTCCCGCCCTCCGAAGTGCCTTCCAGATACGATCGAAGCTTACGTCGGCGCCATATTCGTCGACTCCTCTTACGACTACCAAACCGTCCAGGATTTC